TGCATCGGCAGGCGGACTCTCAACCACTGCGCCACCAGGGAAGCCCTAGCCCTGGTTTTTAAAGACAGCATATGGTATAATGGAAAGAAAAGAGCTTTGGTGTCCGTCAGACCTCAGTCTGAATTCTACTTCAACCATCTACCATTGAGTTTGTTTCTTCTTTTGTAAAATGGGACAATATCATTACCCTGAAGGAGCTGGTTTAGAGGATTAAACACAACATTTGCAACTGGCTGTCTGTACGTGGTAGGCATTTATATTATTTTTCTAGTTTCTCATCTCTGATTTCAGACTGCATTTCCTAGGGAAGCCTGGGCTTCTTCACCACTCAACAGTGATCCTCCAAACATTGTACACAAATCAACACACAGTTCCAAGTCTATAAAATCTGCTTACCTACTCTCACTGGCCTTTTAAAGAATTCAGAGAACTCCGTTAATACCTTCTTTTGAGCACATTCATGTTCTATGAACTGGGATAAAGCAATATACACAGGAGCCCACAGCATAAGTCTCTTTAAGTCTTCTCCCTTTCTAAGGTTCAGAAGATAGTCAAGATGAGAACTTCAAAGCAATCATCACAAATGATGATAAGGAAGGTAAGAAGTTCTACATCAACTATACTACAAACAAGGAGCTCTGTTCCTCCATTGGATGAACGCCTTCTCTCCCTGTTGGTAACACCAAATGCCCTGTGTTTATAGTTTATTGGCTTTAATTCTACTAACAGTATTTCAGAGTATGTTAGGAATGCACTAAGTGCTATCTCTAGCAACAGAGCTAAGGAATGTTTTATAATAACATTTAAGCACATTCATCGCAATTTAAAACATTTTAAGGAAAACCCATTTCTTAGGAAATTTCATTGTGTTTCCACTATGAAATGATTTATATTTACATCAGAATCCAGTCCCCATTACCAGTTTTTGCCATTCACATTTCAAATTTTTCTTAAATTGTCTGAAAGGACACTACAGAGATGAAAGGGTACACTTATGATAAAACAATAAAGAAAGAGAGGCTAAAAACATCAAGAAGTGCCCTCCTATCTGCACGAGACTAGAGAACAGAGTATAATGTGGGTCCTAAGTAAGGTTAAAAACATACCTGATAACGTGGCAATGCTTAAAGTGCACCACAGGAATATAGCCTCTTGGCTACCACTAGAGGTAAATCCTATAATAGCTTTCCAGATGACTAACAAAAAAAAAAAAAAAAAAAAAAAAAAGATGTGAGGCAAGCATGGATGCTTCACATCAGAACTTGCCCAGACCTCCTTAAATAGTATCCTCAGAGGATAAGAGCAAATATCTAACCTCTCAGATACAATGAAGAAAATTTTTGCAATAACCCAATCCATTTAGACACACTACGTTTCATTAATAAGATGCCATCTTTGTCAAATTAATCATTCACCATGCCCTGTTTGCAAACTCAGGGCAGCTTTAATTCATTAGTTTATCTTTGGCATACACATTCCTTGGGTTAAGGCAGTACTTGAGAAACTGGGCTTCTGGCCCAGAAACTACGTCCTGTAGAGGTAGAGATAAAGACTGCTATAAAGAAGTGACCAATTCATAAAATGTATCACACTCTAATTTTTAAAGACCTTTCAAGGACTTTCTTCTCACTCCAAGAATAACTGAATCAGTAAACAAGAACAGGTAGCCCCTTTTTCTGACCAATTTTAACAGTGATGAAGTTTCTTGGGTATACTCACAAAAATGAAAGATGAAAAGCTTTCAATATTACTGTAAAGCTAATCTAAAATCACCAGCATTTGGCTCTGAAACTAAGATATACATAGTCACTACTTCCATGACTGTTGCTGATTCAATTCTTTCAGCTGCCTGGGTTCCAAATGGCTGAGGGTAAATAACAGATTACCTTGGCTCACTGATAATCTGCTTTAAAACAAAAAAACTAATTCAATCTTAAAAACTAACACCAATGTGATGCAATAAAAAGCTGTTTGGATAACTCTGTCTTTTATAATCTGGACACCCATGAAGCCCATGGGTGGAGCCCATGAAGACATGTTTAGAATAACTTTTCTACAGTAGAAATAATCCAGAAATAAATCTATCTACTGAAAACAAAGGTCAACCCGTCACTTTATGATTTTTAAAGCCTGTAACTCACCTGATAGAATACAGGACCTAGACCATGAAACTCTGAAGATCTCAGTCTCCCACAACAGGGCGTACTTCTATAGAACGTCTTCTATTGGAGTCCGTTTGCTTTTGAAATGCCAGTATTGTTTTAAACTGGCAACAAAAAGACATTTCTTTTAGCTTTCTCTGAAGACAAGCTTCTGTCTTAGGTTGATCCTAGTCAAAACTAAGGATCATAGCACTGAGGCTGATTCTTATACATTTAACAGGCTGCTGAATAAAATGCCCTGTTAGGTTGGTGGTGAGAACTAAGGTCATAAGCATACCTAGCCTCCCACTGCAGCCACGGTAGGAAATACTTCTTAGTAAGGTGCAACAATTCTTATGCAATACCCTGAAATATAAAATATCTTCAGAAATATAAGAATTTTACAGTTGTGGTCTAAAGACTAAAAACATTGATTCACTGTATACACAGGTGTCACCTGGAGCATAAAATGTGAAGCCCTTCTTGGGAGTGGTGATGGTGGGAGTGGGTTCTTACCCAGCACATACAGTAATAAGGAACAGTCAAAATTATGCCTCTTTCAACATACTGCCTTTTCTCCTCCCACACCCACTCTCGCCCGGCTGAACACAGAACTCTAGACCTCATAAATAACACAAATAATAAAATGCACCTCACTACCCTCCACCCCAAGAGTCTTTACCTTTGAACAGAGAGAATTTAGACCCTAGATGGTGGTAATGAAAGTTGGTCAACTCTAAGTTGATCACTGGCCTGAATGAACACAGTTGCTTTCATAGCAATGTTATTATCAACAACTTTCTTAATTTTCATGTGTCCTTACCTCCCTCAAAAAGATGTGAAAGAAAAACCAACAAGAGGTTAAAAACTTTTTATCTGTGCTGTCATATTATTAACATGGTCCAGCTGGGGAGATGAAATAAAAAACTCTGCATTCCTAACTCCCTAGCCCAGATTTATTTCAGAAAGAAAGGAGACCTTTTCATGGTCTAGTTCTTTGATTAGCTATTGATGAGGACCACTGCAGAGCCCAACAGCTTGGAAAAAAAACGTATTCCTTCTACGGCAAAAAGGAAAAGGCATAAGAGGTAGCTGGAGCTGAGGTGGTGAACAACACTGAAGCTGGAAGGAAAGGAATTACAATACTTAGGTCAACTCTGATTAGGTGAGCTAAAAGGGAGACCAAGAGACAGGAGCAAAGAACAAAGGAAACTTATTGATGTTTAATTTAAGAATGCATTTAGAAATATACATACATCAACATCTAATATTCCTGCTGTCCTCTGGTCTTGAACTCCCACCAGACTAAACTGAATCATGTTCAGAAGACAACCCTAGGTGGGCACCTACAAAGAACACACCTAAGCTGACCAATTAAAAATGAATCTGAAGGGCTTCCCTGGTGGCGCAGTGGTTAAGAAGATCCCTGGTCCGGGAAGATCTCAAATCCCGCGGAGCAACTAAGCCCGTGCGCCACAACTACTGAGCCTGTACACTAGAGCCCGCGTGCCACAACTACTGAAGCCAGCGCACCTAAAGCCCATGCTCCGCAACAAGAGAAGCCACTGCAATGAGAAGCCCGTGCACCACAACAAAGAGTAGCCCCCGCTCGCCACAACTAAAGAAAGCCCACACACAGCGACAAAGACCCAATGCAGCCAAAAATAAAAATCAATTAATTTAAAAAAAATGAATCTGAAAAATTAACCAGAAAAACGTGTTCAAAAGCAAAATGCAAAGAAGTGTAAACTAACGTATAACTTATTCAAAGCTATATCAATGATGTGCAAAGAAAAGAGAAAGTATTTTTTTTAGTGTCCATCTTGGGCTAGGCATAATTTAAGACCTTTATATAAGCTTCCTCATACAATACTGACAGTGACACTAGGACATAAGCAGTATTATCCCACTTTTACAGATGTGGAAATTAAGACTCAGAAAAGTTTAAGTAACTTGCCCAAGGTCACATGGCTAACAAATCTTAGTACAGTATTTAAACCCAGACCTACCCAGTTCTAAAGACTGTATTTTCCCCTTTTTATCTTATTGATACACACACATACTGCCAATAATAATCTTATTCTAGTTCATAATGAGCAATTTCTAATCAGAACACTGTGTGGAATAAAACTCACCAATGTCACACTCAAACTCTTCCTACTACAAATCATAAAGATATTAAGAATCAGCCAGGCCTACCTTCCAGAGCCACTCAGCTCTCCCATCACAGCCTATGAAACTCAACCACAGCACTGTTCTCTGCTACCAGAAATCCAACACCCTTACAAAAATTACGTTTACAGGTATGTCCTAACTCCCTCTGTGGCACTGGCCCATGCTGCTGAATGCACAGGATGATTCCTCTGCTAACCAAGAATTCTTCAGACCAGATATAAAACAGCACCACTACTTCTTTTTTTTTACCCAAAATTTATCACTGTGTCCTGAAAAGTTGGAATTCTGAGGTGGATTGGACACAGTCACCAACTAAAGGCAGCACCACTCGTCACTCACTAGTTCTTAGTTAAAAGCAGCTAAATATTCTCCATAGCAAGAAATGACAATCTAAAGTCCTGAGAGGCAAAGAGACTTGATTTGACAAAAAGCTAAACAGAACTCAGGCAAACTAGTTCCCAGCTTTTAACAGTGTAAGAAACACGATCCGCACAAAGGCAAAACACAAGGCAAATGAATAAAGAAAGAGGGAGATACATTCACTTCTAGGCTTAACTGTAGTCATGTGAAGATATACAGCAATAGTTTAGGACAGAAAGTCAAGAGGCGCAGAGCCAATTAAACTTGTAAAAGTAATTTAACCAGAGCTGGAACAAAGCCAAGAACAATACCCGACTCTTTGGGAAACTGTGGTAGGAATTTTATGACTAGTGGTCAGCACTTGAGTACCAGGGTAGGGTCTGTCTTGCACTCAGGAATTTAAATGCCTTCAACTCCTACTCACCTTTCCTCCTTTATCACTGAAGTAGGGCCAGGCTGAGCTCCTGAGAAAATAGGTCTGTAGATTCACTGAAGGACTGAGAAAAGTTAAAGTTTAAATGGCAAAGGTGTCTCTTCTACTAAACATAATAAAAAATATTTATGAATACATGTTAGTGTTTTTTAGACCTCCTCAGAACTATTCAGAACCACCGTAATTTATCTAATTCTGACTACTGAACAAATAACTTACACTGTTACAGAAATTAAAGGAACCAGGCAAGTAATCTCCCAGCTCCACTAAAACGTATAAGTCATTTAAAAGGAAAACCTGAATCTTTTCAACGCTAACCCCTAACCAAACCTCTCAACAAGAAGCCACAGAGCAGGGGGGAAATCCCAAAGAGAACGTGATAGCGCTAATGCCGGTTTGTTTACAGAGACTCCAGCAACAATCATATGAGTCAGAAACTCAAGCCACCAGATGCTTTCCAACTAACAGGGACCAAATGGAACCGTTCTACGGTGTCCTGAAAGATTTAGGGGTGAGGGGAGGCAGGCTACGAGAATTACATTACAAAAGGTACAGGAACAGACAGCAACAACTGACTGCGGGGTAATCTTGGACCTCGGCCTTCCGTACAAGGTGCTGGGCCCGAGAACTCGGGATGGGGGAGGGGGCACACTGCGCGGTGGTCCTGAGGTGACGGGGAAACGCAGGGGAAGCCGCGTCCCCCAATCTAAAGGGGAGAAAAGCGCACACAAATGGGTCACCCGACGAGGCAAGACGTCCCTGTAGATTGCAGGGCAGGCTCCTGAGGTCAACCCTGGGGCTGACCTGAGGGAAAGGCAGTCAATCCTCCCGGCGGTGACTCAGGTCAGGGGAAGAAGCCCTGAGCCCTGGGAGCTTGGGAAAGGAGTCAAACCTATCTTGAAGAGGAGTGGGCCAGGGGAGAGGGGGGCAGGCCAAGCCGGAACGAGACACGGACCGGGTAGGTCAAGGGGGGGGTGTCCGGCTGGGGCAGTTACAAGCACGGGAGCCGGCGAGGCTCAGCAGCCTGCTTCCTGTCTTGGGTCATCCTTCTGCCAGAGGCTGCTCCGACTCTTCCACGCCCAGCCGCCCCGTCCACTGCCGCCACCACCGCCGCCGCCATCTTACACTGGCCAGCGGCCGCCACCACCACCGCCTCCGCTCTCTGCGCTTGCGCCTGCGCCGCCACGCTTTCCGGCCCCGTTTGCGACGATGTGCTGGAGAAGACTGGGAGAAGAGCGGTCGCGCGAGCTCTCCGCTCCCAACCCTCCTCGAAGGACGCACAGGGGGCGGGGCTTAAGACCAATGGAAAACGGAGCGAGGGGCGCGTGCGCAATACTGAGGAGGCGAAGAAGTTGTTTTCGCAGTGTTTCGGGCGGCTGACTTTGATGCTGAAAAGAAATACGAATCAGACGTCTCCCGGAATTGTGGTGGAAATCAGCTTCATTTCTAACAGGCTGGCAGGCAACCTCCTGGGCGACCTCCATTTTTGCCCTGTTTTTTTATACTGAGAACAAGCAGTTCTCTCCAGAAGATTTCTTCTGAAAACCCCATTTCCTTTGGGGTTAACCTTGTTAAGTGGTTTCTATACCCACGAGAACCATTTACCCCCGAGACCTCCATTTTCCTTTTTTTTTTTTTTTTTTTTTTGCGGTACGCGGGCCTCACTGTTGTGGCCTCTCCCGTTGCGGCGGAGCAGAGTCTCCGGACGCGCAGGCTCAGCGGCCATGGCTCACGGGCTCAGCCGCTCCGCGGCATGTGGGATCTTCCCGGACCGGGGCCCGAACCCGAGTCCCCTGCATCGGCAGGGAGATTCTCAACCACTGCGCCACCAGAGAAGCCCATTTTCCCATTTTTGAATAAGGGATTCAGAAGCCTGAGGTGCAGCTAAGCTGTTCAGGAGGTTCTTTCCTCTGAAGGGGGGTAGTGTGTTGAAGTTGCCCAAGAATTGGACGGGGTATGTACACTCTGCCTCGTTCTGACACCTGAAGGAAGAGTGCAGAAGGCCCCTGAAAAGGTTACTCCCAGCTGCCAGGCCAGGGGGGTTCTAACCAGTAGGCCAGGGTGAAAGGCTCCTTGTCACCTCTTCTACCGCTACCATCCTATTATAAGTCATTATATATTACCTAGACTATTGCAATAGACGCCTAGCTGGTTTGTGTACTTCCATTATTGCCCTGCTAGTTAAAGGCAGCCAGTGACCTTTTAAAATGTAAGCCAGGTCATATTATTGCCCGCTCAAAACCTCCAAAAGCTTCCCATCACACAGTAAAAATCAAAATGATCAAAAGGGCCTCCAAGGAAGGCCCTACATGATGTGGCACCTATTTCTCTGATTTCATTTTCTCCCATACTACCTAGCTCTGCTCTAGCCCTTTTGGCCTTCTTGTTGTCACTCCAACCAAAGCATGGACAGCCCCAGGGCTTTTGCACTTGTTCCCTCTTCTTAAAATGTTCATCTACCATATCTTTACTAGACTTGTTCTGTCCACTTAATCAGATATCTACCCAAATGCTACTTCCTCAGAGACACAGCTCTTAACTATTCCATCTAAAATTGTACACTACCATCTTCCTCTGTTCTCTCACTCTGCATTTTTTCATACCATTTTTTACCTATAACATTTAACCTATAATATGTTTGTAATCTGACAATACTATTAGAATATAAGCTCTATAAGGGCAGGGGCTATGTCTTTTTTCATCTTTTTAACCCCAGCACCTAGGAGGGCTAGGACACAAACTATCTATTGCCCTACCATTCTATTCATTCTTTCATTTACTCCATCAACAACTATTGGATTCCTGCTACGTGTAAGGCCCTCTTCTAGGTACTGAGGCTGCAGCAGTGAACAAAACAAACCAAGATTCCTGCATTCATGGAACTTATTTGCACAAGGGTTGGGAGTATAGGGGGAGGAGAGGGGCACACAGACAATATTAAATTACGAAGAGTACTGTAAAGGAAAATAAAGCAGGGTAAAGTGGGTAACCTGAGTAGGTGTGCTCTTTCACATACGGGGTTCAGGGAAGGCCCCTCTGCTGAGGTAACATTTAAATAGAGATTTGAAGTGAGAGAATAAGTCATACACACTAGGGAAAGAATCTTCCAGGTAGAGGAAACAGTAAGGTAAAAAGACTTGAAGCTTGAGTGTATGGTGTATTCAAAGAACAGCAAGAAAGCTAATGTGGCAAAAGAGCAGGTAGGAAATTAGTTTGGAGAAACACAATGGGAGCCAGATCACTTACGGAGTTATAGGCCGAGAAGGGGACTTTGGATTTTATCCTAAGAGTACTAGAAAGCCATGGAGGGTTTTGAGTAAGAGTGACATGATCTGATTTATAAATGAAGAGATTCATTCTGGTTGATTCTTTGAGAACTACCGGCAGGGAGGCAAAAAAGAAGCTGAAAGACCAGTTAGGAAGCTATTGCAGAAGACCTGCAAGACTACTGCTGCAGTTGAAGTGGTAGGAAGTGGTTGGATTCAGGATGTACTTTGAAGGTGGCAGAGGTGATTTGCTAATAGATTGAATATGGGGTACAAGAGAAAGAGTCGAGATATCTCAGGTTTTTTGACTTAAGCAACAGGACAAATAGTAATGCCATTTACTGACACAGAGCTCAGGGTGGGGGTGGGGGTTCAGAAGGAGTTTTTTTGGGAAAATGTCCAGTTCTATCTTAAACTGGTTAAAGTGGAGATGCCTATTAGATTTCCAAATGGAGCTACTGAGTAAACAATTGAAATATGAATCTGAAGCTCACGGGAAAAGAGACAATTGGTGGTATAAATTGGGGAGCTATTAAGGTATAAATGGCATAGATAAGCACTAGATGGGGAACATTCACTTAGTTAATGTGGAAGAAAAGAGAAGCAGTCTATAGACTAAGCCCTCTAATCCTGAGGCACACCAACTAGTAGGGGTCAGACAGAAAGCCCAGCAAAATTTATTTAAAAGGAGCAGCAAGGAAATAGAATTTAAAAACCAAGAGAACGAGGGATCTTAGAAAACAAAATTTTTAAATGTTTCAAGAAGGGCACTATAAACTGTCATTCCTGTTTGAGAGTTTGAGGCTAAGATGACTGAAAATTGACCACTGGATTTGGAAACATGGAGATTATTTAAGACCTTGACAAGAGGGACTAAAGTGGAGCTATGGAGATAAAAGACTCCCCCTCTGTGGTGTGCTTTCTGCGCTCACTGCTTTGATAGGCACCATTGCTATTACCATCAAATCAATTGCTATTACCAACTCTTCTTTTTCTTATTTTGGGCTTTCCTATTGCATTTGAGGTTGTGATAATCATTACCCCTTCTAGATATTCAATCCCACTGATTTCTGTGACACTACATTCCATAGTTCTATTTATATCTCTCTGACCATTTATTTCATGAGATTCTCTTCCTCTTCATTTTACATTTTTTTCCAAAGTGATCTTATCCATTCTTACAGTCCAAACTACTATCCACATAATGATGACTCCTACGCCTTTATTTCCAAATCAGGATTCTCCTTCAAGCTTTAGACTGGCATACCTGATAGCCAATGGGACTTTTTAAAAAACAGCTTTGGGGGACTTCCCTGGTGGCGCAGTGGTTAAGAATCCGCCTGCCGGGCTTCCCTGGTGGCGCAGTGGTTGAGGGTCCACCTGCCGATGCAGGGGACACGGGTTCGTGCCCTGGTCCGGGAAGATCCCACATGCCGTGGAGCGGCTGGGCCCGTGAGCCATGGCCGCTGAGCCTGCGCGTCCGGAGCCTGTGCTCCGCAACGGGAGAGGCCACAACAGTGAGAGGCCCGCATACCTCACAAATAGAGAAGTGGTTAAGGAATCCGCCTGCCAATGCGGGGGACACGGGTTTGATCCCTGGCCCAGGAAGATCCCACATGCTGCGAAGCAACTAAGCCCGTGCGCCACAACTACCGAGCCTGCGCTCTAGAGCCCGCGAGCCACAACTACTGAGCCTGCATGCCACAACTACTGAAGCCCGCACGCCTAGAGCCTGTACTCTGCAACAAGAGAAGCCACCGCAATATGCAATGAGAAACGTGCACCGCAAGGAAGAGTAGCCCCCACTTGCCACAACTAGAGAAAGCCAGTGCGCAGCAACGAAGACCCAACGCAGCCGAAAATAAATACATAAAATAAAATAAATAAAAAACAGCTTTGTTGAGATGAAATTCACATACCATACAATTCATCCATTTAAAGTGTACAATTGAATGGCTTTTGGTACATTCACAGATATGTGCAACCATCACCACAGTCAATTTTCAATCATTTTCATCTCCTCAAAAAGAAACCCAGTCCCCTTTAGGTATCACCCCCCCATTTCCCCATCCCCCACCAGCCCTAAGAAACTAGTCATCTACTTTGTCTCTATGGATCTCCTTATTCTGGACTTTCATATGAATGGAATCATATAGTATGTGGCCTTTTGTGACGGGCTTATTTCACTTAGCATGCTTTCGAAGTTCATCCATTTTGCAGCATGTATCAGTACTTCATTCTTTTTCATAGCCAAATATTATTCCATTGTATGTGTTCATCCGTTTATCTGTTGATGGACCTTAGGGTTGTTTCTGCCTTTCGGCTATTATGAAAAATGCTGCTGTAAACGTTTATGTATAAGTTTTGTGTGGACATAAGTTTCATTTCATTTCTCTTGGGTATATACTTAGAAATGAAATTGCTGGGTCATATGGTTAACTCTATGTTTAATCACTTGAGGAACTGACAGACTGCTTTTCAAAGCAGTTTTACCATTTTACATTCACACCAGCAGTGTATAAAGGTTCCAGTTTCTCCCCATCTTTGCCAATGTTTTTTAAGTTTTTGACTCTAGACATCCTAATGGGTGTGAAGCGGTATCTCACTGTGGTTTTGATTTGCACTTTCCTGATGACTACCAATGTCAAGCATCTTTTCATGTGTTTATTGGACGTTTTTGTCTTCTTTGGAGAAATGTCTATTCAAATCCTTTACTCATTTTTAAATTGAGTTATTTGTCTTTTTATTATGGAGTTATAAGAGTACATATTCTAGATACAAATCCTTTATCAGTTACATGATCTGCAAATATTTTGTCCCATTCTGTGGGTTGTCTTTGCAATTTTTT